GGCTCACTCCCCACAGGCCAGCCCAGGCCACAGGGAAAGGAGGTACAGGAAGGTGGGTGTGCCCACCTTTCACAGCAGGTAAGTGGAGGAAGTGGCTTCAAGCCCTACACACAATGAAACCGTGTGTGCAGTTGACAAAGTCACACTGTCTTGTAACCACCACTGTGTCAACATATATAGTCAAGTGACAGGCGTCAAGACCACTCAAGGGGAAAGGTGCAGGGAGCACATGGTGCTGGGAAAACAGGACATCCCCTTGCAAAAGAATGGACCCTTACCTCACCATATACAGAATGAGCTCAAAATGGATCGAAGCCCTAAATATAAGAGCAAACCCTGTAAAACTCTCAGAAGACTAGAGCACAAACTTTATGACACCAGACTGGCAATGACTTGGCTATGTCACCAAGGCCTGGATGATAAAAGAAAAAATGGACCAATTGAAAATTTTAAAAATGTTGTGCATCAGACACTATCACTAGAGTATAAAGGCAATCGACAAAATAGGGTGAAATATTTGTAAATCATACATCTAAATATATAGAGAACTCTTTAAAACTCAACAACAACAATCCCCCCTCCCCCAACCTGATTCAAAAATGGGCAAAGGACTTGAATAGACAAATGGTCAGTAACCCATGAAAAGATGCTCAACATCACTAAACATCAGGGAAATGAACATCAAAGCTACAGTGAGATGCCATCTCACACCTATTAGGATGGCTCCTGCCAGAAAAACATAACAGGTGTTGGTGAGGATGTGGCAAAACAGGTGCACTGTTGGCAGGAATGTAAAATGGGGCAGCCACTATGGAAAACAGTACGGTGGTCCCTCAAAAAATTAAAATGGAATTACCCTATGGTTCAGCAACATCACTTCTAGATAGATACCTAAAAGAGTTGAAAGCAGGGTCTTGGACCCACTGTTTGGGAGAACATATTTGGCAATGATGCATCTGATAAAGGGTTAATATCCAGAATATATAAGGAACTCATACAACATAACAAAAGGAAGACAATCCAATTAAAAAATGGACAAAGGACCTAAATAGACACTTTTCCAATGTGAATATATAGGTGGCTGAGAGATATAAAACATGCTCAAAGGCACTGATCATTGGAGAGATACAAATTAAAACAACGAGGTATCGCCTCACACCTGTCAGAATGGCTACCATCAACAAATCAAAAATGACATGAGCTAGAGAGGGTGTGGAGAAAAGGGAACCCTCTTACACTGCTGGTGGGAATGCAGACTGATGCAGCCACTGTGGAGAACAGTATGGAGTTTCCTCAAAAAATTAAATATGGCCGAAACCGGTTTGGCTCAGTGGATAGAGCGTCAGCCTGCGGACTTAAAGGTCCCAGGTTTGATTCCGGTCAGGGGCATGTACCTGGGTTGCAGGCACATCCCCAGTAGGAGATGTGCAGGAGGCAGCTGATCGATCTCTCTCATCGATGTTTCTGGCTCTCTATCTCTCTCCCTTCCTCACTGTAAAAAAATCAATAAAATATATTAAAAAAATTAAATATGGAACTGCCATTTGACCCAGTGATCCCACTGCTGGGATTACATCCTAAGAAACCCGAAACACCAATCAGAAAGGATGTATGCACCCCTATGTTCATAGCAGCACAATTTACAATAGCTAAGATCTGGAAACAGCCCAAGTGCCCATCAGTAGATGAGTGGATAAAAAGCTGTGGTACAGTTATACCATGGAATACTATGCAGCAGCAACAAAGAAGGATCTCTTACCCTTTGAGACAGCATGGAGGGACCTGGAGAGTATCACGCTGAGTGAAGTAAGTCAGTCAGAGAAAGACAAGCATCACATGATGTCACTCCTGTGGAATCTGAGTAACAAAATAAGCTGATGAACGGAGTGGATCCAGGGACATGGAAGCAGGGAGCAGAGTGCGGAATCTCAGAGGGAAGGCGGGGGAGGGATAGTGGAAGGGAGGTAATCCCCAAAGACCTTGTGTGCGAATATGCATGGCCCATGGACGCAAACAGTGGGGTGGTGAGGGTCTTGGGCCGGGGTGGGCTGGAGGGAGTCGATGGGGGGAGAGGGGGACATATGTAATACTTACAACAATAAAGATGCAAAAGAAAAAAGAAAGCAGGGTCTCGGAGAGATATGCACAGCCGTGTCCCCAACATTATTCACAGTAGCTGAAATGTGGATCCCATCGATGGAAGGAAATGGATGAACAAAGAGTTACTCAGCTGTAGAAAGGAAACCCTGACACCTGCTACAGCGTGGATTGGCTGAGGACACTGCTCAGTGACATAAACCAGCCACTAAGCAGTGGTTCTCCACCTTCTGGCCCTTTAAATACAGTTCCTCATGCTGTGACCCAACCATAAAATTATTTTCGTTGCTACTTCATAACTGTAATGTTGCTACTGTTAAGAATCGTCATGTAAATATCTGATATGCAGGATGGTCTTTGGCGACCCCTGTGAAAGGGTCGTTCGATTGCCAAAGGAGTCGCGACCCACAGGCTGAGAACCGCTGCACTACATAAACACTGCATGTGGGTTTTATCGACGAGTATTTACCATACTAGACATTTAAATGAAATAAAAGTATTAACTAGTTAAAAATAACAAGCCCATTACTTATGAACATAAATTATATTTTCAAGCCCCAACTGGTTTGGCTCAGTGGATAGAGCGTCGGCCTGCAGACTCAAGGGTCCCAGGTTCGATTCCGGTCAAGGGCATGTACCTTGGTTGCAGGCACATCCCCAGTAGGGGGTGTGCAGGAGGCACCTGATCGATGTTTCTCTCTCATCGATGTTTCTAACTATCCCTCTCCCTTCC